AGCAAGAATCTGTCTATCTCAAAAAAAAAAAAATCAATACACCAGGGAGCTGATTTCTAGATCAAACAAAAAGTTTAGAGGGCACACGGAGTGCTGTAGCCATGTGTGTCAGATGGTCACTCTCCATCACCTTATCTGTTCACTCCTCCTCCGACTCTCTAAGGGGCCGGCTTTGACCTCAGCCCTGGATGGGGCCCACAGGGAGTGATGAGACAAGATGAAATTGGTGGCTTCACCTGTTTGTCATCGGGGATCTGAAATGTCATAGAAAATTTTGATGAGCCAATCTTTTGATTAAATCTAAATCTAAATTCATCTTTATTTCAAATGCTGGTTGCTGGAAGACTGAAGGAAGCCATCTAGAAAGAGGAGACATTACTTTTAGTATGTTTCTGCTTCAGGATCCTAGGGATGCCTGTGGGGTGGACATAGGACCAACATTTCTGTTTGTAAAGTGCAATAATGCCTACCCACTCCCTGGCTCCCTGGGAAGCCATGAGAATAATATAGGTCAGGCAGGGCCTCTGGGCCTCTCAGATGTTAGGTCCAAGCCATGTCCCTCTCTTCTCCTCACTCTAGGGTGAGTGCCTTAGAACACGTGCTTTAACCAGCAAACCCCCAGAAGATGTGGAAAGGGACCCTGAAGTAATAGAATCCACAAGAATGTCAGCTCCGCAAGGACAGGGAGGCCTAAATTGGTTTTATCTCCAGCACCTAGCACCATGCTTGACATATGTGTTAAAAAATGATTGTTGAGGCTGGGCAGGTGGCTCACGTCTGTAATCCCAGCACTTTGGGAGGCCAAGGCAGATAGATCACCTCAGGTCAGGTGTTCAAGTCCAGCCTGGGCAACATGGTGAAGCCCCATCTCTACTAAAAATACAAAAATTAGCCAAGCATGATGGCGCACACCTGTAGTCTCAGCTACTCCAGAGGCTGAGACACAAGAATCACTTGAACCTGGGAGGTGGAGGTTCCAGTGAACCCAGATCAAGCCATTGCACTCCAGCCTCAAAAAAAGAAGATTGCTGTTGAGGCTAACCGCTGTGGCTCACGTCTGTAATACCCCCATTTTCAGAGGTCAAGGTAGGAGGGTCACTTGAGGCCAGGAGTTTGAGAACAGCGTGGGCAACATAGTGGAACCCCATCTCTACAAAATTTTTTAAAATTGCCCTAACCCTGAGGTGGTGGCACAGTGGTTACTGGTCGGGATCATGGGCACAGCACTGTGTTCTGTGGCTGCTCCTCATAGCCCTGCTTCAGACTGCCATGCACGTGTCTAGTGGGACCTGATGAACTCGGGCTACAAGGACATCTGGGTCTGGATGAGGAGAATTTTCTGCACTTGCCCTGTGACAACAACCTACTGACTGAGAGATCCACCTCTGAAACCTCTCAGCGGCTTCTTCTGCATTGCAAGAAGGGGTAGAACGTATGTTGTCATAGAAGTTAAAGTTTCAACTCAAGAAGGAAGAGAAATAACCTGTTGATATTATCTGATGGCAAATTATGAGAGTGCTCCCCATCCCCACAGTATAAAAGATGATATGCATAGGTGCAAAAGAAAACGATTTGCCACTGGAGTACAAAAATAAGTTAAAAGCCATAGAACCAATGACTGTACAGGAAAGGTCTCAGAAGAAATTGAAGACATCATCAAAAAGGAATCACAAATTCATTAGAATATAACGGAATATATCTAAGGATATTGTAGGTACCAATATAAAATATTTTTACTGATTGAGAACAGGGATCTGGGAATCTCCATGTTTGATCCATCTTCCACAGTGCTCTGAAGAAATATCACACGTGGTTGATACTTGCTTTCAGACTATAAAAAGAAACTGGGTTAGGAGTTAGGCAATATCCAATATTTTGCCCTAAAAAACAAACACAAAAACCAGTCAGTTGGTGTGAACTTTGTTTACCTGAAATCAGACGTCATGTTGATCACATAACTTCCTCTGGCCTGACATTGACATGTTGATGTTCTCAGACCGGGTCCGGAGAGGCCACTTCCCATCATATGAGACTTTCATTAATGGCACCAAATTGGTGGGAAGAAAATAAAGAACAAGGGTTTTCTTCCTACTGACTAAACTCTTAGGACCTTCTGAGAGAAAGGATCAAATCTCAGGTAACCAGAAAGGTCACTGTGGTTATGAAAATCACAGCAACCAACAGTTAAGCAGAAATGTAGATAACACCATCTCTATTTATCCACGTAACTACTGAAAAGAGTTAAATATCTTCTACTTCTACTCTCTGTGCACTTCCCAAAGAAACTTTTTTTAGTCTTTTTAAAAATATTTTTTATTTCCATTCATTTTTTGGTGGGGAGAGGTGTTTGGTTACATGAGCAAGTTATTTGGTGGCGATTTGTGAGACTTTGGTGCACCCATCACCTGAGCAGGATACACTGAACCCAGTTTGTCGTCTTTCATCCCTCACCCCCTTCCCACCCATTTCCCCCCCTCCCCGGAGTCCCCACTATCTATTGTATCATTTTTATGCCTTTCCATCCTCATAGCTTAGCTCCCGCTTAAGAGTGAGAACATACAATGTTTGGTCCTCCATTCCTGATTTCCTTCACTTTGAATAATGGTCTCCAGTCCCATCAAGATTGCTGCAAATGCCATTAATTCATTCCTTTTAACGGCTGAGTAGTATTTCATCATATATATATATATGATGAGACTTTCATTAATGTCTCATTTTATATATATATATGTCTCTCTCTCTCTCTATATATATATATAATGATATTATATGTATAATAGTTAAAATAAACCTTTATTTTTTTTTTAAGAATGCTGTATTTCTTAGCCAGGCAGGCACAGTGGCTCATGTTTGTAATCCTAGCACTTTGGGAGGCCGAGGTGGGCAGATCACTTGAGAACAGGAGTTCAAGACCAACCTGGCCAACATGGCAAAACCCTCTCTCTGCTAAAAATATAAAAATCAGCTGGGCATGGTGGTGCATGCTTGAAATCCCAGCTACCTGAGGATTGAGGCACGAGAGTCGTTTGAATCCAGGAGGTGGAGGTTGCAGTGAGCTGAGACCATGCTTCTGCACTCCAGCATGGGCGACAGAGTGAGAGTCTGTCTCAAAAAAAAAAAAATGCTGTATCTTTAACAACATGTGCTATGTGTTCTTTCATGGTCTGTGAATAATAACCCTTGTTGAGTAGGGAAAATGCGGCTGCAGCCAGGGCTGCCATCAACACGTGTGCGTATCATATTGTGCACTGCAGAAATGAACCCAGCCGAGGGACAAGTTGGGGCTGTCCTCTGTCTTCCTCTCTGCTCCGCATGCTGCATGCCTGCAGGGCTATAACCACTCAGAGGAATGCATGTCTTTTTCTAATTGCACAAAGGTGTTAGCTCTACTTGTAGGTGTAGTGTATGCATAATGGATTTGATCAGCAAATCGAGAGAGATACAAGTTTAGTGCAGCAAAAGGAGTCGTGGTGCTCTATTTGAAATTCTTTACCATATTGTGAAAAGTACTCCTTTCTAAATCTAGCATTTTTATTGAAAAATTCATACTCTCTGCCATCCCAGAAACCTACTGTCATTACTCACATATTCTTCAGAAATTTCCTGAATACATACAAATATATATTTGTGTATATACACACAGCCACAGCCACAGCCACACATATATTAATTTAGGCAAATGAAAGTTTGCTATTTTATCCCTTGTTTTTAAAAAACTTCAAGTTTTTTGTTATTGTGGTAAATATACATAACATAAAATGTATCATTTTAACAATTTTTAAAGTGTACAATTCAGTGGCAATAGGGACATTCACATTTGTGAAACTATCATCACTCTCCACCTCCAGACCTCTTTCATTCCAAACTGAAACTCTACTCCCAATCCCCCCACCGCTTTCCACCACTGTTTTCTTTCTGTCTCTATGAATTAGTGGCAGAATTTACTTTCTGCCACTACATATCTCATATAATTAGAATTATACAACATTTGTCTTTTCGTATCTGTCTTACTTCACTTAGCGTAATGTCTTCCAGGTTCATTCATGTGTGGGATGTGTCCGAATTTCATTTCTTTCTCAGGCTGAATAATTCTGTTGTATGTATGTAACACATTTTGTTACCTGTCAATCAACATGAGGTGCTTATACCTTGTGGCTATTGTGATAATGGTGCTATGAATATCCGTTCAAGTTCATGGTTTCAAATTTTGGGGTACATATCCAGAAATCATGTGGTGATTCCAGCTGTGTTATTTTCAGGAGCCACCGTACTGTTTTCCACAGCGTCTGTACCATTTTACATTTTCACCAGCAATGAACGAAGCTAATTTGCTCATGTCTCCACCAACACTTGTTTTTGGTTAGTAGTCATCCTGATCGGTGTGAAGGAATATTTCTTTGTGGTTTTTATTTGAATTTTCTTAATGAATAGCAATGTCGAGCATCAGTTCAGGTACTAAATTGTGGCTGTTTGAGTATCATCTTCAGATAAATGTTTACCAAAGTCTTTTATCCGTTTTTTACTTGGGTTGATTTTTGAGTTTTAGGAGTTTATTATATATTCTGGATATTAATCCCTTATTAGATAGATACTTGTTTTACAAATAATCTCTCCCATTCTGTCAATTATCTTTTCACTCTGTTGTTAGGATACTTTAATGCACAGAAGTTTTAAATTTTGGGCCAGATGTGATGGCTCACACCTGTAATCCCAGCACTTTGGGAGACTGAGATGGGAGGCCAAGAGTTCAAGACCAGCTTGGTCAACATAGCGAGATGCCCATCTCTATAAAAAATAAAACAGAAGTTTAATTTTGATAAAATCTAACGTGTCTACTTTTTCTTTTCCTTCCTTCCATTTCTTCCTTCCTTCCTTCCTTCCTTCCTCCCTCCCTCCCTCCCTCCCTCCTTCCCTCCCTCCCTCCCTTCCTTCCTTCCTTCCCTCCCTCCTTCCCTCCCTCCTTCCTTTCTTTCTCTCTCTCTCTTTCTTTCTTTCAACAGACAGGGTCTCACTCTGCTGTCCAGGCTGGAGTGCAGTAGTGTGATCTCAGTTCACTGCAACCTCTGCCTCCCAGGCTCAAGCCCGGCATCGTGTCCAGAAGCACAAACAACTAAATGATGAGCAAATCTGATGTCATGAGACTTCCCCTATGCTTTATTCTACGAGTGTTAGCTCTTAGATGCAGGCCTTTGATCCATTTGATTTAATTCTTGTACAGGGTCAGCTCAGCGATATAGCAGGTTCAGTTCCAGACTACTCTCATAAAGCGAATATTACAAGAAAGCCAGCAACACAAAGTTTTTGGTTTCCCAGTTTACATAAAAGTTATGTTTACACTACCCTGTAGTCTATTAAGTGTGCAATAGCATTATAACGAAAATGTAAAACCTTAATGAAAAAATACTTTATTGCTAGAAGATGCTGATGATTGTCTTAGTCTTCAGTGAGTTGTACTATTTTTGCTGGTCTTGCCTCAGTGTTCATGGCTGCTGACTGACTCAGGGTGGTGGTTGCTGAAGGCTGGGGTGGCTGTGCCATCTCTTAAGACACCAGGGAAATGTGCCACATTGACTGGCTCTCCCTTTCACAGATTACTCTGTAGCATGCGATGCATTTGGCAGCGTTTTACCCGCAGTAAAACTTCTTTCAACACTGTAGTCAGTCCTCTCAAACCTGTTGCTGTTTTGCCAAGTAGGGTCATGTGATATTCCAAATCCTCTGTTGTCATTTCAGCAGTGTTCACGGCATCTTCACCGGAGTAGATGCCATCTCAAGACACCACTTTCTTTGCTCATCCGTAAGAAGGAACTCTTCATTTATTCAAATTTTATCACGAAATTACAGCAACTCAGTCACGTCTTCAGGCTCATCTTCTAATTCTAGTTGTCTTGCTGCTTCCACCGCATGTACTGTGACTTCCTCCACTGAAGTCTTGAACCCCTCAAAATCATTCATGAGGCTTGGAATCAACTTCTTCTAAACTCCTGTGAATGTTGATATTTTGACCTCTTCTCGTGAATCACAGATTTTTTTTTTTTTTTACCGAGTCTCACTCTCACCCAGGCTGGAGTGCAGTGGTGTGATCTTGGCTCACTGCAGCCTCTGCCTTGTAGGTTCAATGGGTTCTCATGCCTCAGCCTCCTGAGTAGCTAGGATTACGGGCGCCCACCACCACACCTGGCTAAGTTTTATATTTTTAGTAGAGACGGGGTTTCACCATATTGGCCAGGCTGGTCTTGAACTCTGACCTTGACTGATCCACTCACCTTGGCCTCCCAAAGTGCTGGGATTATAGGCATGAGCCACCGCATCCAGCCAGAGTCACAGATGTTCTAAATGGCCAGAATGGCCTGATTTCAGAATTGTTGTGTCTAACAGAATAAGAAAGCCTGAGGTGAGGACAGGGAGATGGGAAGTGGCCTATTGGTTGAGCAATCAGGTGCCTCAAAACAATTAGCAATGGTAACATCAAAGATCATTGATCATAAATCACTATAGCAGATATAACAATAATGAAAAAGTTTGAAATATTGCAAGAATTTCCAAAATGCGACACAGAGACATGAAGTGAACACAGGCTGTTGGAAAAATGACACTGATAGATTTGCTCAACCTAGAGTTGCTACAGCTCTTTGATTTGCAAATATATGTGAAATGCAGTAAAGCAAAAAGCAGTAAAATGAGGTATGCCTGTATATGGTGTAAAAGAAAGATCTAATTTCATTCTTTTGCATGTGGATATCCAGTTTTCTTGGCATTTCCTCATTGAATGGCTTTGGCATCCATGTTGAAAATTGTTTGGCCATATATGTGAGGGTTTAAATCTGGGCTGTCTATTCCATTGGTTTATAGGTTTGTATATCTGTCTTAATGGTGATACAATACTGTTTGCATTATTATAGCTTTGTAATAAGTTTTGAAACCAGCTTTGGTCCTTCCTTTTCAAGATTATTTTGGCTATTACACTTCCCTTGAAATACCATATAATTAAAGATGGTTTTTTTCTATTTCTGCAAAAACTATTGGGATTTTGACCGGGATTGCATTGAATCTGTAGATTGCTTTTGGAAGTACTGCTGTCTCCACATTATTAAATCTTCCAATCTATGAACCTGGGTTGTCTTTCTATTATTGGCTTATGTCTTCTTTAATTTCTTTGAACAATATTTTGTAGTCTTCATGTGTTGCCCAGGCTGGAGTGCAGTGGCACAATCTGGGCTCACTGCAACTTCTGGCTCTTGGGTTCAAGTGATTTTCATGCCTCAGCCTCCCGAAGCTACTACTCAGCTTTCAAGTAGTCCTGGGCTGGGACTACAGGTGCATACCACCACGCCTGGCTAATTTTTTCTTTTTTTTTTTTTGTAATTTTAATACAGATGAGGTTTCACCATGTTGGCCAGGCTGATCTTGAAGTCCTGACCTCAGTCCACCCGCCTCAGCCTCCCAAAGTGCTGGGATTACAGGCGTGAGCCGCTGCATTCTGACACTTGTTCATCATTAATGTAAACACAACTGGTTTTTGCTTGTTGATTTTGCATCCTGCTCTATCCTTTGCTTTTAAAAATGTATGTATTGGGATTTTTCTATACCATCAATATTTTGAGATACCTCATTGTTACCTGGATAGCATCCTGTTATGTGGCCGATCTAGATTGGTCTTCATTCCACAGCCCACAGAACGAAGCGGGCCCATTGCCTGTTTTTGTACTTAAGCTGAAAGTGGTTTCATAATTTTTAAATTGTTACATTTTAAGCAGTACCTACATAACCTTTATCTTGTTTCTTGGCCACAAAATCTAAAATATTTATTATTGGCCCATCAAGAAAAAGTTTATTGATCCCCATTCTGGAACATACTTGGCCAGTCTCCTGTTGAAAGCTTATTCGAATTGTTTCTAATTTAAGGCTTATTATTATTATTATTAAGATATGGGTCTTGCCATGTTGACCAGGTTGCCAAGTTGTTCTCGAACTCCTGGCTTCAAGCGATCTTTCCATCTCGGCCTCCCAAAGTGCTGGGATTACAGGTGTGAGCCACTGCACCTGGCCCTAACCTCATGCTATTCTAAACAATATTTCATCGAAGTTTGCCCTCAGGGATATCTGTAGGGTAAATCCCTAGTAGAGAAATAATTGCTGGATCCACAGGAGGGTGCATTTTTATTTTGGACAGTTAATGCCGCAAGGCCCCAGAAAGAAATCACAGCCGTTCACCTCTCACCAGCAGCACTTTCCCTATGTGCTAACAGTGTGAATTACTGATTTTTACATTTTTATCATCTCATTGTTGGAATTTCCATTTATTTAATTGTAAGTTAGGCTGAGCACCTTTTAATAAAGAGGTATATCTACACGTTCCTGGTTTTTGCTTCTTTTTCTGTCACAGGGTTGTAGGGCAGGATAAACAAGGTTAAGAGGCCATGCCGACTTGCTTCGTTGTGTGACGCCCCACAGGCTCCTTTTGCAGTGGGCTCCTTTCATCTGCACTCTTGCGTGTCAGCACCTAACTCTTTGCAGGGTAGCAGAAGGCATACCAGCCTCTTGCAAGGTACCAGCTGACCGCCAGACGATTACAATTTCCTGATATCCAATATGGCTGTGAAAAGCCTCTTTTTCACTATGTAGATTCCCCAATCTCCAGCCAATCATCACCAAAAGCCCAAGAAACTATTACCTACAAATTCCTGCTCTGGGGGGATAGGGACTTCTCTTGGGTCCCACATGCACAAGGTTTAGCTTACAGTGACCTTTTCCTCATTTTAATTGTAAAAAAAGACACCCCTAGGTGTAGACTTTATATGCTTTTGATACATGCGAAGAGTGTTAGAGCATGTAGACACCAAGTGCACGCGCCAACTTCTGGTCCACCTTTGCCTACTTGACCTCATGAGTATTTTATGAAGAGGTATGAACTGCTCCCCTAAAGAGAGTTTCCCTTAAGGCACTGGCTACTGTCTGTCTTTTCAAGCAGCCTGCTCTGCCTCTGAGAGTATACTTCGCACTTTGCAACAAACTTCTCTGCTTACTCCTACTTTGGATTTGCTGTCAAATTCTTCTATGTGTTGAAGTCAAGAACCTTAACTGGCCCACTGACGACAGTTGGATTATGGATTGTTACTAGCTATTTTTGTTTCTAATAACGATTCTTTACATATTAAGGCAAATTGAGCCTTTGTCATATGAGTAGCAAATGTTCTTTCCCCAAGTTTGTCACTTAAAAAAATGTTTAAGTCAGTATTTCCCCTAAATGTGTTACATGCACATGAATATAGTAATCTTTTCCCTTATGGTTTCTGAGTTTTATGTCTTACATGAAAATCTCTTCCCTATTTGGAGATGATTAAAAAAAAAAAAAACTTCATGTTTTCTTTTGGTTCTCACGTGTTTTTAAAGTACTTTAATCCATCTGGCATTGACTTTGGTGCGCGGAGTAAGGGATGGTTCTGGCTGGTAGTCAGCTGTCCCAAAGCCATTTTGTGAATAATCCATCTTTTTTTTCACTGTCTGAAATGCCATCTTTCCATATGTATTTGAGTTTACTTTTCAGCACTCTAATTTCTTCCATTGATCTAGCTCTACATTCATTCATGTACTATTTCAAGTATAGTTTTCCAAATGATAAAAGGATAATTTGGAAAAAGTAGTCTACTAGCCTTCTGTAGGGTTTTCTTGGCTATTTTTGCTTCTATGAACTTTAGAATCAGCTTATCTACTTAAAAAGTTGATATTTCATTGACACTATATTAAATTTTTAGATAAATTTAAAGAGAAAAATGTATTATTAGTTCTTCCTATTAAAAATCAAGGTATGTGTTGCTATTCATTCAGGATTTTTTCTTTGCTAACTAGAGCCTTAAAGTTTTGATTTATATAAATTAATTTCAATTGAGTTTATTCCTAGGTATTTTTTTTATTTTCTGGGTATTATAAGCAAAAGTTTTCTTTTTTGTGTTTTCTAACAGTTTCTTATACATCAAAAATGATTGTATTTTGATTTTTGGAAGAAAATGGTGGAGGGGAGGCAGGACTAACTTGCAGCTCCCATTCAGATGGACAGAGCAACATGTGAAGACTCACACTGTGAACTTTTGCTCCAAGAACTACAGCAGGAACATACCAGGAAAGCCGAGAGAACCCACAGACCCTTTGAAGGAAGCTGATTGCTGCTGCAGGTCCCTAGAGACAACCGAAAAACTCCAAAGACAAAGGACATCATCTCTTGGGAGCTCCAGGACCCTGCCCTCTGCCTGACCCTCCTTACACTACTGCAGCTAATGCTGTCTTGAAAGCACCACCTCCTGACTGGAGGCCAGTCAACACAAAACTAGCACAATAAACAAAAATACCACCAAGGACCCTCACAGAGTCCACACCACTCCCCTGCTACCTCAACCAGAGCAGGTGCTGGTATCCACAGCTGAGAGACCTGAAGACAGATCACATCACAGGACTGTGCAGACACTCACGGAGTGTACCAGCCCAGAGCCTGATAGCTCTGCTGGATGGCTAGATCCAGAAAAGAAATAACAATCACTGCAGTTTGGCTCTCAGGAAGCTACATCCCGAGGAAAAAGAAGAAAGCATCACATCAAGAGAGTACCGCATGGGACAAAAGAATCCGAACAGCAGCCCTTGAGTCCCAGATCTTCCCTCTAACATAGTCTACCCCAATGAGAAGGAAACAGAAAAACAATTCTGGTAATATGACAAAACGAGGTTCTTTAACACCCCCAAAACATCACACTGGCTCACCAGCAATGGATTTAAACCAAGAAGAAATCTCTGAATTGCTGAAAAAAGAATTCAGAAGGTCGATTATTAAGCTGATCAAGGAGGCACCAGAGAAAGGTGAGGTTCAACTTAATGAAATCAAAAAAATGATACAAGATATGAAGGGAAAAATCTTTAAATAAAATAAATAAAAAACAGTCACAACTTCTGGAAATGAAGGATATGCTTAGAGAAATATAAAGTGCACTGGAAGGTCTCAGCAATAGAATCAAACAAGTAGAAGAAATAACTTCAGAGCTGGAAGCCAAGGCTTTCCTATTAACCCAATCTAACAAAGACAAAGAAAAAAGAATTTTAAAAATGAACAAAGCGCCCAAGAAGTTTCTTGGTCCTGAGGAAGAAGAGAAATCTAAAGTCCGGAAAACAGGTGTAAGGGAATAATTGAGGAAATCTTCCCCAGTCGTGTTAGAGATCTAAACATCTAAGTACAAGAAGCTCAAAGAACACCTGGGAGATGTATTGCAAAAAGATTATCACATAGGCACATAGTCATCAGGTTATCTAAAGTCAGGGTGAAGGAAAAAAATCTTAACAGCTGTAAGGCAAAAGCATCAGGTAAGCCTATAAAGGAAAAACTATTAGATTGACAGCAAATTTCTCAGCAGAAGCCCTACAATCTAGAAGGGATTGGGGCCCTAGCTTTAGCCACCCTAAACAAAACAATTATCAGCCAAGAATTTTGTATTCAGTAAAACTAAGCTTCATTAATGAAAAATTTTTTAAAAATACACCTTTTTTCAGACAAAAAAATGCTGAGAGAGTTCACCACCCAGCACTGCAATAACTGCTAAAAGGAGCTCTAAATCTTGAAATAAATCCTCAAAGTATACCAAAATAGAACTTCCTCAATGTGTAAATCTCACAGGACTTATAAAACAAAAACACAGTTAAAAACCCCAGGGTATTCAGAAAACAAAATCATTTGATGAATAGAATAGTACCTTGCTTCTCAATACTAACATTGAATGTAAATGTCCTCAATGCTCCATTTAAGAGCTACAGAAACAAACCAACAAACAGCAAAACAAACAAACAGCAGAATGGATAAGAATTCACCAACCAAGTATCTGCTGTCTTCCAGAGACTTACCTAACACATAAGAACTCACATAGACGTAAGGCAAAGGGGTGGAAAAGATATTCTATGCAAATGGACACCAAAAGCGAACATGAGTTCACTTAAGACATAAGCTATTCTTATATCAGAAATAATAAACTTTAAAGCAACATCAGTGAAAAAACACAAAGCACACCATTATATAATGATAAAAGGATTTATCCAACAGGAAAATACCACAATCCTAAATATATGCACCTAACACAGGAGCCCTTAAATATGTAAAACAATTGCTACTGGACTTAAGAAATAAGATAGGCAGCAACACAATAATGATGGGGGACTTCAATACTCCATTGACAGTACTAGACAGGTCAGTAAGACAGAAAGTCAACAGAGAAACAATGGATTAAAACTATATCATAGCACAAATGAACTTAACAGGTATTTACAGAACATTCTACCCAGCAACTGCAGAGTATACATTTTATTCATCAGCACATGGAACATTCTCTAAGATAGACCATATGATAGGCCACAAAACTAGTCACAATAAATTTAAGAAAATAAAATTTTTTTTTTGAGACAGAGTCTCACTCTGTTGCCCAGGCTGGAGTACAGTGGCACAATCTTGACTCATTGCAACCTCTGCCTCCCGGGTTCAAGTGATTCTCGTGCCTCCGCCTCCTGAGTAGCTGGGATTACAGTCAGCCACCACCAGACGTGGCTAATTTTTGTATTTTTAGTAGAGACAGAGTTTCACTATGTTGGCAAGGCTGGTCTCAAACTCCTGACCTCAAGTGATCCGCTTTCCTCAGCCTCCCAAAGTGCTGGGATTACAGACATGAGCCACTGTGCCCGGCTAAGAAAGTCAAAATGATACCAAATACTCTCCCAGACAATGGTGGAAAAGAACTGGAAATTAACTCCAAAAGGAACGCTCAAAACTATGCAAATACATGGAAATTAAATAACCTGCTCCTGAATGATCTTTGGGTCATCAATAAAATCAAGATGGAAGTTAAAAAATTCTTTGAACTGAACGATAATAGTGACATAACCTGTAAAAATCATTCTATGAAGCAAGTATCACCCTAATATCAAAAACAGGAAATGACATAACAAAGAAAAAGAAAACTACAGACCAATATCCCTGATGAATATAGATGCAAACATCCTCAACAAAAGACTAGCTAACCAAATCCAACAACGTATTAAAAAGAAAATCTGCCATGATCAAGTGGGTTTCATATCAGGGATGCAGGGTTGGTTCAACACATACAAGTCAATTAATGAGATATACATAAACAGAAGTAAAAACAAAAAATTACATGGTCATCTCAATAGACACAGAAGAATTATTTGACAAAATCCAGCATCTCTTTATGATTAAAACCCTCTGCAAAATTGGCATAGAAGGGACATACCTTAAGGCCATAAAAGCCTTCAATGACAAATCCACAGCCAACATATACTGAACAGGGGAAAATTGAAAGCATTCTCCAT